ATTTTTGATACAACATCAAAGTTTACATGTTTTAGCAACATTTAGTACAAGTGAATATAACAATAAAATTATTAACACAATAAAATACTCTGATATCTAATACAAAAAAATTAAGATAAATTTTACTCTCGACTCGCCCCTCTCCCAGATACTTTTCTTTGTCCTTGGCCACCTGAGCTTTGAGCTCCTTAATCTTCTGTTGGAGCTCCTCGACCTTTTTTGCTTCAGCCTCATAAGCCTCCTTGACTTGATCCTTCTCCTTTATGGCAGTCTCAGTGTTGAGTTTCGCTGAGTCGAGAAGAGCCTTAAGGTTCGACTCCATCCGATCCATATCCTTGCTCCGCTCGTCAACTTTTACTGAGTCGATAAAGTTGAGGAGAGAAAGAACGAGGGCCTATACGGAAAAAGACATGGAAGGTTGGGAGAAGTTTAAAAGCTAAACAAGACAACAAATAAAGGTTAAGGGAGTTGAAGCTTATGTGGAAGTGAAGGGAGATTTGCCTCCGTTGACGATCAATAAGAGGAGAGTTTGCAGCAGCAACCCAGGTTTTGTTGAAAAATGTCTCGTATAGAGCTTGAAAGTGGAGGGAAAAGCGGGGTGGAAAGTCGAGTGCACCGTCAATCTGAGCATCGTAAACATCGAGCACCAGGAAATTAGAGTCTACAACCTTTGCCCCTAGGAGGAGAAGATGGTCCTTAAGTGTTGGCCTCATTGGAATGTGGCAGACCTCCACCAATGGCGTAGAGGTATTGGCTAGTGGGTCCTTAGTTGTCCTCTTCCTCTTGGCCTTCAGCGCATCTGCACCGGACTCAGAAACTCTCTTTAACGAACCACAAGTACAAAAAGCTCCTTTCCCTTTGTTATTCTTCGGAGGAGCGGTCGGCTTCCGGCTGGAAAGATCGAGAAGATGAAGGTTGAGGGTTGTCATTTTTGAAACCAAACCAAAGTACGACGTCAAAAACCAAGAAATAGCCTATTAGGTCAAGAAATATGACTGCTCAAACAAGAAAAACTTACCTTCAGCACTGAAATTAAAATATTCTTGCACGACGTGAAGATCCCTAGGGTCCAGAAGAGAAAACAATAGGCCCGACACCCTGAGATTGGCTTCTATCAAGAGGGTGTCAACGTTTCGATCGCTCTTGGAAAGCTGAAAAGCTCTAAAAACCCCCTGCTTCGTGTGCCTAATAGTTTTGGGCAGTCTTAGGGCTCTGCGTATTTACAAAAAAAAAAAGGGTAAAACAACAGAGGTATCTATATGAGGAACATGCAATGGATAATACCAGTAGAATGCTCACTTAGTCTCCCAAAACAAGTCTGAACCCCTCAGCGCCGAGATCAGCAGTCAGCAAGGTGGATGTCGAACCTACCCTTAATCATGAACATATGGGCTTCCACTTATGAGAAGATGAGGGAACCCCTTTTATCGATTTACCAAGTACGGGCTTGGATCCCCCGTGACTCTCTAGAAAATACCACCCTTTGCTATTTTCATCTAGCGGTAACTTCAAGTTAAACAGTTGATGCCATAAGACCCACATCCCGGTAAAATAATATCAGATGTTAGGGGGTAGTTGGGCTGTAGAAATTCCATGGAGGTGACAAAGGTCCTGTACAAAGGGGTGGATTGGAAAGGTCATCCTCGTGGTGAATGACCTGATGTGGACAGAAAGGTAACCGGAAGGAGGAAGGCTTGCTCTGAAATGTTTGTCTTTAAAAACGTACAAGAACCATCTACCGTCAAAGCGCCCTTCCTTAAACGCCTTCAAAATGTTTCGACTCTGAGTCCTCGATAATTTAGAGTCGAATGGTATGTCAGGATCGCTGCTCATGGTAGCTAGGGGGACGTCCACGAGAGATACGAAAAAACCAATAACCATGCCTCCAGTATAATTACAGACGTCTTGCAAGGAGTCAACGCTGACGTCCATCTCGCTATCTTCACCCTCGATGATGCAGTTGCACTATCTATGTCGTCTCTTGGGATGACTGTATAATCATTGATCTCCCGTGATAAAGAATCAACGTCTTCAAAAAAAGATGAGTAACTGGAAGGCTTGATTGCTGATGGTGGGTCAGGCCTCACAAAAGACACGGATGATGACCCTTCTTGACGAGTAGATTTTTTGGGTGCTATAATTAATTCTAAGATGGAAAAATAAAAGTGTTAGAATCCTAAGGGTCGAGAGGGAAAAAGGAAAAGTTAGCCAAACAGTTAACTCTAAAAGTGACTGCATCTAAAGTTAAAGCATGAGGAACCTAAGGATTACGAGACGTCGATCATTCATTATATTGGTGAGTGCTCAACACAGATCTAGAAACTGAATAATTGGCCTAAAATCTAAAATCACTAAAAATTAACTAGAAATCTTGGCCAAAACAATGCGAAAATAACAAAAAGGTATGTTTTTGTGTTCATTCTTCCTATTACTAACATTTTCAGCACAAATCATAGGAAGCCATGACATGTTCGAACAGGAAGTGCAAAGTATCTACATTTTTCACAAAACCAAAATGAAAATAGAGAGATTTCAGGCTCAAATAGGAAAAACTTACCATGAATTGGAAGAATGAGAATTCAGGCTCAAAGTTGGGCAAATTTATGAGATTTGGTCAAAAAATCCTCGAATGAGCTTTGAAAATGAAGAAGTTTTAGATGCTAGGGAAATTTTGGCTAAGTTTCAACAGATTTTTAGAATAAAATGATAAAAAAACATACTCAGTAACCATCTCTTATAAAGAGGAGGAATCACCTAGATCGTTCGATAGAAAAACTATTCATCTAATGGTGAAGATGGAAAGTAAAGATCCAACAGGGAGGGCATAGCCGGGAAAATAAAGAGTCCAGATCCAACGGTTCAGATTCAACCATTCAAATTAATGAAGAGATGCCTAGCAGAGTGATTTGATCGATGCGACTGTTACCCTACTCAAGAAGCATCTTCTATGTCAGAGCCATTATAGCCTAGAGAGGCCTAGGGCTAGAATCCTTCGTAAGCAAGCTGACTCAGGAGAGGAGAGTCAAGGCGTAAACCCTACTTAATTTGTTAAAGCTTGAAGCAGCACAGAAGAATGCCTCGACCTGAGGGGCAAATGTTGTAGGGTAAGATGCCGAACCCTAAATAAGACCTTAGACGAGGCCCACACCCCTTAAATGAGAATACAAAATGATTAAATACAGCTCAGTCCTAGACGCCACGTTAGTAGGCAACTCTCTTAGAAGCCGAGATCTAGAAAGAAGTGAGGCATATGAAAGAGGTCGACTGCTCATAAAGGTTAAAAAGGACAGCATTAAGCCACCCATATGCGCAATTATAAGCAAAGAGACTTCCGTGAACGTTTATGAAGTCGAGGCTACGCGAGAGATGAGATCGGCGAGATTTGCCCCGAGATTTATTATTTGTGCTTCAAATATGTGAAGTTTAAAAAGGAAAACCATTCTGATTGATTGTAATCTCTATTTTTTGTGAAACTATTTCAAAAGATAAGGGAAAATCCCGAATTCAAATAAGAAAAAAGATATGGGCGGTGGTTATAAGTATAAATAAGGGATTATAAGTCAGAAAATATCTAAGTCTCCTTCTGAGCATTAGTGTGTGTATTCTCTTTCAAAGTAGTGAATTTTCTCACATTCTCACAGTGAACGTAGCTCTCAAACCGAGGGTGAAGCACTATAATTGTCATGTGTTCTCACTGTTTAATTGCTTTTAATTGTATTTTAAGTCATTTAATTGGCATAAATCGTTTGAAATTTATTATTATTCCGTTGACAAATTTTCTCCATCAACACCACTGAATAACTTAGTCATACTTTCTAGGGCGTGAGAGAAGAACAATCACGTCACCTCCTAATCTTCTTCCGGTAATCCTCCTCTACGTGATTTTCATCTACAACGAAGACATTAAATGTATTCCTTAGTTAAAATTTTCTCGCCCCAAAGCCCAAGAAGTCGAAGCTTGGACATAGTGCCTCAGTTCAAGAAGAGGCCAAGGTTTGCTTTGGAAGAAAAAAGAGCCCAAGATCCCAAGGAGAAGAAGAAGATGAATTTCGGAAAATATTTTAATAAGATTTTTATTGTGACTTATCGAATATATTCTTGGTTAGAAATTATCTGATTTTATTTGAGTTGTGAAAAGTAGGTTTGACTTCCATCGTGTATATTCATGGTTTTGAAGTATATTTTCATTATATATGGGTTTGATTTCCATCATATATATCGTTGGTTTTGACATATATAAAAAGTGGGTTTATTGTTCCGGCCGGTGATTGTTTTGGGTTGCGTATGAAATCAGTTTCTCTTTTTATTTGAGATGCCTTTATTTCTGTTTTCCATTGATAAAAAGCACCAAAAATTGTTTGACTTGATTTTTGTATCTATGTTGCAATGTCAATGGAAGAATAGTTTATGGCTTTATGATGATCATAGACATTTTGAACTGGGAATTGTTGGTTTATTTTATTTTAAGAGCATATGTGAGGTTTTGGAGGAAGGAATGCAGCCGATGTCGATGAGGTGGATTTTCGTTTTTGTTTTGTTTTTAATGTTTAGATGCTTTTTGTTTAAAAGATATATATTTTGTTGTTAATTGTCAACAATATCCTCGATAATCCGCATAGCAATGGGCAAATGACTTGCCCTCTGAAAATTCTTTATGTTGTCACTAATTGGAGCAATAGAACCAAGATTTTAAAATTGAAGGTGTAAATTGTAAAAAATTTTAATTTAGAGACTAAATTGCCAATCGCGTGAAAGTCAGGGGTATCAATAAAAAAAAGTCCCAAAAATATGAAGTGGAAACAAAGAATTTATAGACATGAGAGTGAGAATTGAGGACTGACAAAAATTTCCTTTGTTATTCAATATAGTATGATCACACTCATAACATCTGTGCATACATGTTGATAAGCACACAAATGACAAACCAATAAATTACAAACACACTTTAGACATATACATATATATATATATATATATATATATATATATATATTGGACGGCCAATTAATACATGAACTTGCACACGTACACACACACAAAATCACACCAGTATGTACGTGCCCTATATTTTATAATCAATAAAACATTTGGAAACAGATAAAACCTAGGTGCGAAGAATGGGAATAACCCTGCTAAAATTGTGGCAGCAATTGTACCTGATGGACATCTCCATCTCATGGTCACATTCGGGGCACTTTATGCCCTCCTTCACTTTGGGGGCATTTTTTGGAATGTCGACGCGTGAACAATTCATCTGGCCCCAAAGGGTGGTGAGAGTCTTCTCATGGTAGTCTCTGAAGGCAACCTCAAACTCTTGCGGCCGTATTTTCCCTGACCATTTGTCGAACTCGTCCATCATCTTCGAAAATGACGTCCGGTTTCCGACGATTATCGTTTCATCTCCTTTGTTAAGGGCAAACCATCCACGCTCTTCGTTTTTGTAGGAATACAGCCTTTGGATTTGCTGTTTAGGACGGTCGTCATAATGGTTAATCTTTGTGATGAAGAGGCCTTCTAATCGCTTCCAAAAGCGCTCTTTAGTGTCCAAGTTCTGTTCCACATCTAAAAGCTTAATTGTAAAGGTACCCTTTGTTCTGTCTGGGTTGAGTACTTTTAGCATGGTCTCTCTTTTTTCTTTCATATCTTTGGCCCAGCCGGTCTTATCTTTACCTCCAAAGATGAAAATGTAATTGTTCTCCATTTTGACCTATTTCATAAATCCAATATTGAATACACATAAATCTGTATATCTATACTCTATCCAAATATATGAAACCCCCAAATAAAAAAAAAAAAAAAAAAAACCGGGGCAACTTGTATTTTTAACTGTTGGATTAATTTTTCTATTGTCAAATGTATGCAGGTCCGTAGTAAAAATTTATAATACATCAAATTGAACTGCTCTTGCTGCAGATCTAACTATTGAAAAAAAATTAATCTAACGATAAAAAGTACTTTAGCGTCATCCCTAATTTGTCGTTCAAACTTAGTTAGAAGCTCTTACTTTACCTTTTAAATTTTAAACGAGTCTCATTTATCCCCATTTTCGTTAGAATTTGTGTTAATTGAAAATATATGTAAAAAATTACGGAGCGTTTTGTTTTTTTTTTTAGAATAAGGAGAAGGTTTGACTGTGATGCTGTGGTTTATTTTTCCATTTGCTTTTACGAGAAATTCTAATAGAAAGATCCCGTAATTGCACTAACAATTTTTTCCCAGTTTCTGTTTATTAAAAATTCTAACAAAGTGGGTTAAATGGAGTTACTTAAAATTTAAGAGATAAAGTGAGAGTTTTTGTATGAATTTGTCTTTCGATTATTTTGCATATTAATTATTTTAATGAGCTAACCGATAATTTAGTGTGTTTCAAACTCTTTCTTACATTTGCAAACTGATGAGAGAAATCTAAGAATAAAAACCAAGTTCTCTAATCATATATGCACATGATAAAAACAATATTGACTTACCCATGTTGATAATTTGTCGTCTCCGACATCAGAATAGTCCTTGAACAAAGGAATCATCCATTTCATCGCATTGATAAATTCAGTTTCCTTCCGTTTATCAAAGGGAAATGCCTCTAAGCCCAAAATGGAGATGGTGTAGAAGGTGTTACGGTTCACATATATTCCTTTATCTTCATCCTTAACAGCCACAATGGGACTGCCCTTGAAGTTCCACTCTTTTTTCAAGAACTTTAGGGTTGCTTGGTGCGAAACCGGCTTTACGACGAAACCTTCCATTTTATTAGTTCTCACCCTGTTTACAATGTCCTTGGCCATTTTCTGATAATATTCTGGTTGATTCTCATCCACAATTGGCATCCAAACAATCCCATACTGCTCTTGAAGCTTCTGGTCTTTTGCTATTTTTTCGGTTTGAATCAATTTGAGAATGTCTAGATCATCATCAAATATGTCAAGATACGAAACGAGGATAAACAAAGTTTTTGTCTTATCAGTGAGCACATTGAGAACAACCTGTAAATTTAAATCATCTGGTAAGTATTCATGTATATTGTAAGTGTGCCACCAAATGTGAAACATTGACAAGACATAGAATGGCTGATGAATTTAAAAAGTGTTTCGCCTATTGCTGCTAATAAATTAACCTTTTAGAGTGAACCCTAATAACCTGATAAATAAACTATTCTGGCCTATTTAGTTCACCCGTTCAAATCATTAATTTTGATTTATTGACGGGAACTTTGTTAGAGATCCATTGGTGGTTTTGAATTCAAACTCATGAGCTTAAATACACTTCGCAAATTCTTTATAAGCGGAAAATATTATAGTAGAATCAAAATCATGAGCTTAAATACACTTTGCAAATGGGCCCTATATCTTTTTAAAAAAAAAAAAATCAATTGTAATAAAAACGTAACTGCACTTTTCATTTCACTCTTCGATTTTGTAATAATCAAAGCAAAATACAAAAAAATGCTACCACCAAACAAGCCATGAATATCCAATAGAGTACAACTACTCTGTGTGTGTGTGTGTGTTTTTTTTTTTTCTTTTGGTTTTTTTTACTTAAAAGATAAAATCAATAAAAGACAAAGGCCAAACGAAGAGATTACTTGGATGATGAGGAAAATTATATCTCAAAAGTTGATGTTTCAAACCTTGTTACAATTGTTTGATTCATCAATTATAAGCTTCGCATTGTCATCAGCATAATCCTTGCCGAAGAAGAGTTTAGCAAGAAACTCCGGGTCTTTTGTACGAATTTTGGAGACTTTTACGAGGTCAGAATAGAAAGCTCCCTCAGCTGCAACATTAAAATTTTATTCACCATCTTAGCACGTGGAAAAGTTTATTTTGCTCGTGCACGAGATCTAATTTATTTGTCGAAATTTGTACGACGTATCATCAGAAAATGACAAAACTATGGTAATTAATTAAATTGTACCCGTATAGTTTAATTAAAGTTAATTAATATCATTTCAGAGAAACAAGATTTCATTGGAATATGATTATATTTTAATCGTGTTAATTAGAAAACGAACCTTTCTTCAGAAGTAAGTCGGTTAATTTTCCCTTCCGTGTGGTTAGGACGGCTTTAATTTTGTCAGCGTAGGGGGACAGATCGAGTGGCTTGATCCTGAAATGAAAGCAGCCACGATTGTGATTTACAAACGCATTTACTACTGCATTTGAATTCAATTATTTTCTTGTGAAAAGTTGTACAAAAATTTATATTAATTAGTTAAGCATGCATGGAAAATTGGCTTGGAGAATATATATAGAGAAAACCAAAAAAGTCATCATTAAAGTAGTATTATAAATTTATCTCATGCTACTACTAACATACAAGTTATCTTTTCAAAACCTACGGGTTATTTTTGATAATTTGTAAGTTATTTTTCGTAATCTACAGGTTATTTTTTTATAACTTGCACGTTATTTTGTGTATTGGCATTAAAATTTTGTGTAGTGGCATAAATAATAGAGTTAGAAGAAACAATGGTTAAACTTCAAATTTTCCTATATATATATATATATTTATATATATAACTTACTCTTCAGTACTTGTGAGAATTGCAACCTTAGACCCGCATGCAATGACAGCTATCATAATCCAATAGATATCTGTTTCTTTTGGTATTTTTGCTATCTCGATTGGAAAGTCAGAAGAAAGATTCTCCAATTGGAAGATGATGTCCGTCAATTCTAGTGTATCCTTGATGAGATCATTAAGTGCGATTACTGCGGTTTTACGCGCCTGAAGTATCTCAGCAGTACTGGTAAGGTTTGAAGCGCCTTTTAAGATTGCCAATGATTTGCTCAGATTGTTATGGTTTGATTTCTCAAGCTCAACGAGGAGCCAGAAATCCCCAAATTCCGAGGAAAAGGCCGCTAGCGTCAACACCGCTGTCGCGTCCCATGAATAGGCTTTTAGGTTTGTGAGTATTTTCAGTGTTCTTTCATGTGCCGTTTCCGGTTGTGGATCCTTGCAACATGATAGCTGCAATTTCATTGCTCATTAAAGTTGCAAGTAAAAGTTCAACTGTTCCAAGACCAATATATTCATGGTATATGCCTAGCCTTATTATTATTTAAATATCAGTTAAAATGCCACACGTATATGATAAAAACAATATATTAAATGGACGTTTTAATTACAAGACATTGTTTTTATTTTATATGTTATGATGTAATATTATGGAGAGCTTGAAAAGGGATACAAAATTTGAATCTACAAATTCATCAAACAACAACTAATAATAATGACTGAACATTTCTAAAGAAAAACTTATTATAAGAAATGACCTCAAAACGAATGTCCTTAAGAGTGCAAATCGGTATATTGATATTGGCGGTGGGGACGTTCTGGGTATCCTCAGTCTTCGCCGGAGGTACTTTGGCATATCCCTAAAACATATTCACAAAGTGATATTAGATTTTAATACATGTATATATATGTGTAATATATATTTTTAACTGAAATCAGCAGAATGACACAAGGTGATGGTCTCCGGCCGCTCCACTTGAATTTTTTTCTTTTTAAACTTGCATGTGTATTTTGTAAAAATTTGTAGTTTTTTCCTCCTGAATGTTTTAAAACTATATCTTCACCCACCCCTCAAAATCATGAATATTCCCCCCCTCGTGACTTATTTTTCTAACTCCGCCACGTACGTTAGCCTCGCTCTCCCTACATATTACTCATGACATATATATATATATATATATATATATATTGTACATAAAGTTCGAGAAGTGAGATTTTATCAATACATACCTTGACAAGGTCATCAACAATTTGGGTTGAACGCTTAAGGATGTTTACAACGATAGGGAAGAGAGAATCGGCAGCTAACGTCCCGTCATTACCATGAGCCTTAAAAATTTGCTCCTTGATCTGCTCGTCGCTTATCTTGAAGGGGCTGGGTTTCGGAGCATCATTATTAGTTGCTGAGCCAGCTGGTTTTGCATCTGCTGGTTTTGCTGACCCAGAAGCTCCTTTGGTATTCATAACTAAGCTGCGTGGAAATATTATTACTCAAAATATGTAAGCTAGTGAGGGAACTATATATTATGAAATCAAATGTAATTTTTGTATTGTGGAGATCTAAGCAATTTGGTATCACTCTATTTATATCCAACCTTGAAAAGAATGTAGTATTCAATACGCTTTCTTTCCAAAAAAAGAAAAAGTGAAGTATGCAATATGGCATACTTTATTCTTAGCAAAAAGAGAAAGTGGGTTCTACCCTAGCTAAGAAAAATTGAATTTTAAATTTGTAATTACTTCGTTCGAAGTAAAGAACCTATATTTGAGAATTTATATTTAAACCTTATAGAAATCATATATGTACATATATAGCTACTGATTTAGAAAATAATTCTGCAAAGTTGAGTGTGTTTTAATTTATCATGCATAAAAAGTTTGAAGCAAAAATACAAGGCATAATCAATCTACAAGCTTCTCAAACGAAATCACTTACCTTTTTGAATGTTGTTCAACCATACGATCTTATTATGATATGCCGTACGTCAAATTGCGAAGCTTCTATAAATAGTCGTTTTTAATACTTTAGGTTGTCTTTTGTACTACCTTAGTAATTTAATTTAGTTTTGTTTTTAGTATGTCGTTTCTCTTAGTAAGTATTTTGTTATCATTTTTTGTGTGAGCTATAAATAGCCACTTTAGCTATTGTGATAGTCAGAACTTGATTATTAATATTAAAGTTCAAGTGTTTTCTCTCCAATTTGGGGATTCTCACCTTTCTTGGGTTTCTTCAAGTGGACTTAGACTGTTGAGTCTCGTCTTCTGTTCAGATTAAGTCGGTAAAATCTTACTCTATCCATTATGCTACATATATTCTGGAAAAAATAAATTGAAAAAGAAAATCGACAACAACAACAAAAAAAAAAAGTGATGTCTTATTATTCTTTCAGTTTTTTACTCTTTTATTACTTGATTTTGCTTTGTTAACTTTAATTATAACTTTTAACTTTACCCTGTATTCTTTTTGTTGAGTAAGGGCCCAGGTTTTCTTTAAGCGACAAAAGGAAAAAAAAAATGTTAAACATAATTGAAAGCTAGGCTTGTTTTCTCTGAATAGGCTTACATAATAATCCTCTTTCATAAGCACATAATTTAATTGGATCGTTAAATTTACCCCATAATTTTCTTTTATCGGATTAAGAAATTAATGCCCACTTGCATTTTGTTGAACCATAAAATCTCATTAAGATAAAGTAGTTACAGTTGCCGCACTATAGCTAGATTGGTCTTAACACGCCCAATAAACTCGCGATAAAACCAAAGCCAGAGAGGAACATTATAAATATAAGCGTCAGACCAAGTAATATATATGAAGGGTACTAGACGTATAATTTTTCAAGCAAAAAAAAAAGAGAGAGTTTAATAGAGGTTGTTGTCGTTTAATTTGAAGTTCAATTATTTCACGAGCAACACGTACGGTGTACATCCATGAGAAAACATGTGGTTCATAGATTTTTTTTTTTTCTTTTCAGCTTTTGTTAGGTTATATTATATTCTGTCCCTTTAATCTTTATCTTTGTCTCGACCAGCCTTTATCTTTTTAAACAAAAGTGTTGTTTTTTGAAATTTCTGAAAGCGTCTATGGTGAATGGAATTATATCGCTGTAATAGAGCTACTCTTACTGAGCAAAAATCTTCAATCTCGGCTTTTGTTGAAAACTATAATCTTCTCAAATTTAGCTCTGTAATAACAAGGAATATAGATCCACAGCTTAAACGGAATAAAAGGAGGATAATTTAAGTTCTATTGTTTTTTTATTATTTTTATTTTTTAGAATAAAACTCTGGATAAATATATTACTGAGAAAATTCCTGATCAACAGGAAAGTTCAGCCTAGGAAAGAAAAATGAATAACGCGAAGATAATTTCTGAAAAGGATAATTCTACAATTTCAAAAGTAAATAACCACGAATTTGAATAAAATTTGTGGCTAGGGTTTCAAGTTTGGGATCTCTTCTTATGGCCAGAGTCTAGCACCGCCACTGGTTGGTCGTCAGACTTGTGGGCCTTGAAACGGTGGCTGAGGTCGTGCAGATGTGGTTGATGCTTGACACTACAACAATAAAGGTCATTTGCGATGATATTATTTGCAACGACATATGTCGTCGCAAATATTTCATTATTTGCGACGACATGTCGTCGTAATTAATCCCCGTTAAATAAATTAAGCATGTCGTCGCTAATAAGTTCAATGTCATTGCAAATAGTTTAGGCGCGCAATTTCCAATGGCGCGGATTTTTGCCGCCAAAGGGAATCCATTTTTTGCGACGACAATATCTTATTAGTTGCGATGACACGTGTTGTCGCAAATAATATCACTCTATTTGCGACGATGTTTTCTCTTTGTCATCGCAAATAAGCTATACACATTTGACCAAGAACAAACGCGGTGGAATGATTATTTGCGATGACAATATGTCGTCGCAAATAATTTCAGATGTGGAATATTTGCGACGACATTTTAAATTTATTTGCGACGACAATGTCGTCGCAAATAAGTCTGATCTATTATACCCTAACTTCTTCCTCTTCATTTTCCCCTGATTTCAGTCTCTCTCTCTCTCCTGCTAACTCTCTCCGCCTTTTCTTCCCCTCACCGCCCCCG